CTGAATCAAAATTGCTTCACTTTAGGATGTTACTGTGTCCTGGTTTCAGCTGGGATAGAGTTAATTTTCTTCCTAGTAGCAGGCATAGTGCTGTGTTTTGGATTTAGCATGAGAATAATGTTGATAACACACTGATGTTTTAGTTGTTGCTAAGTAGTGCTTACACTAGTAAAGGACTTTTCAGCTTCTCATGCCCTGCCAGCAAGAAGCCAGGAGGGGGCACAGCCAGGACATCTGACCCAAACTGGCCGAAGATCCCTTCCATACCATATGACGTCATGCTCAGTATATAAACTGAGTTGGCTGGGGGGGCAGTGATAACTGCTCAGGGACTGGCTGGGCATCCATTGGCAGGCGGTGAGCAATTGCATCGTGCATCACTTGCTTTGTATATTACTGCTACTACTATTTTACTTTATTTTACTTCAGTTATTAAGCTGTTTTTATCTCAACCCATGAGTTTTCTCACTTTTCTGATTCTCTCCCCCATCCCACTGGGGGTGGGGGTGTGTGTATGCACGCACGAGCAAATGGCTTTGTGGTGCTTAGTTGCTGGCTAGGGTTCAACCACGACGTACTGTTATCTGAATTGCACCAGATACAACGTGCTTGTGCTCTGACTACCCATCCCTGCTTGCTTTTCTAAGTTTGATAGTGAGGAATAGCTAGGACAGGATCCTCAGTCCCTTGCCTGAAGACCAGCGCTGAGGACCAGGTCTGGAACAGCAGACATCATCAATATTTCTAAATATTTAACTTGAACAAGAAAATTGCTGACCTGCTCTCAGTGAACAATGGTGAGCTATAAACAATGTGTGGTTTGGTTTTTTTTATTCAGATGGTTACTCCTTCATGGAAAGTGTCAAGCAGCTGTCTACAAGGAATAACAGATGATGTTATGAATGAGGCACTTCCTTTAGTTTCCTTAGAGTCAAGTCACTTTCTGTGATGCGTCACTTACACTCTTAGTGTAGTCAAAATACTAGACTGTACCGAGGCTGGAAGACTTAATTGCCAAGATGAAAAGAGAACACATGTTAATTGAGTTTTTGAATGCCCATGGCAGTGTTTTGTTCTAGAGAGGGAAGACTCTGTGTGGGTAAGTCTGCAGCATTCACCAGTACTAAACTAACCTCAAGTAGGTGGATGTTATTGTTGCATTACTGTTGATTTGGGGAGCAAATCTGTAAATGACTCTTCTCTCTCAGTTTGTGGATTCTTAGTACATAATTAATGGAGCATCATGCACGCTAACCTAAATGCTGATTAATCCTCCTAGCTAGTGGTTCTTAAACTAGTGAACTTCTGTATAATTAAAGATGTGAAAATACAACTTCAACTTCTTGCTCTTTTTATATGCTGTCCCTTTAAGGCTGTGCAATGACAAAACTATTTACTGTTCCACTTCAAGCTGGAAGGAGGAGTAGGTTTGGAGTTGAAATATACTGACCTTCATGACTTCTGCGTGACCTTCAGATTTCCAGAGTTTAATATCTTGATTTTGAATGTTCCATTCAAAATCTGAGAACTGTAAAATCTGAGAACTGTAAAGGCCTATAGCTAAGCATTCAGATCAGCCCAAACCAGTATTTTCTGCAAATGAAACATCTGTTCTCTCTTTCTGTCTGGGTCGTGATAGATTGTATCACACACTTCAGTACGTTATCTTAATATTGGTTTACATCTGTAATATTAGTTCTCTTTGTGTTTAGGAGTGCACCATGTTGATAAGACTGGCCCTTTACAGAAGTTAAGTATGTGGCTCTTGACTGACCTTAAACCTCTGATTATGAAAATCCCTTGATTTTTCAGATAGTCAATATAATTCATAGCAGTGCTATTTCTCAAGCCAGATACAATTAACAACCAACTGGATCTATACAGTGACCTGGCCCTCCTTCAGAGTTAGCTTTACAGCTGTCTCATGGCTACAGCTGGTACTGTCCACAGTAGATGATGATTTGTTTAAAGACTCAAGCTGTGAGATGTTGTAATGAAGAGACAAGTGGAGGATTTGTGGATAGATATCTAAAAAAGATTTGGATGATAGAGATGTATCACAGAAACAAGATGCTTCTGAATTGGTGACTTGGGGGAAGAATAAAAATCTTATCTAAGATATTACTATCTGTCACAAGTCTCATCAAAATGAAACTGAAGTGTGTCAGACTATTGCTATCTGAATATTTCCTTGAGGTTATATTAAACATGTTAAAAATTAACACATCGCAGAAACTTCTTTTTACCTAAGGAGCAGTAACTGACTTGCTTTCATGTTCCCATACATTTATTTGATATTGCCATACTGGGAGCTCCCTTGTACATGTGATTCTCCTGTCTATGGCTGTGTGCCTCAGTAATGGCCTTGGTCTCCTCTGATGTGATTTCTAGTTTCTTCCCCTGCAATATCAGGTGTGTACTTAGTATGTACTAAATATATAATCCAAATATGTGCTCAGCTGCTTTTCTTGTAGGTGAGAGCTCAGAGCTTCATTTGATACAAGCATCAGATATGGATGAAAAGCATTGCTTAAAATCAGTTATGTTTGGCTTTTGTGTTATTGCTCAGTTTATTTAGAACATTAAAAAAAAGTCACCCCAACAGCACTGATTTATCTTAAGACTCATGGGTTTTGTGTTGGTGGCATACCCAGAATAAGTAAAACATACACCATCAGCCTCTTTTACAGTGAGACACAAAATAGTTTTGGAAAGTATATGTGCAGTTGCAGTTAAAGCATGAGGATAAATGTAGCATATATGCCAGAGGCGAAAACCTTACGACTTGGGTGCTGTGAACTATCATTTAGTAGCCAGTGGCAGTTCTGTCTGAAAGCAGCGTTTCTACTCGGCTGTAGAAATACTGTTAGGTGAGAAGTAGCTAGGGAGAAGTGAGAGTGTCAGTTAAGGACCAAAATAAGCAAGAGTTCTCTAAAGGAACTCCCTAAAGGCTAAAGACGCTATATCTTACCTCTGAATGAATAATACATGGTGCTTTTCAAACCCCTTGTACAGCATTTCAACTTCTCTTTTTCCTCTTGTTTGTCTCTGTTCACTTTTGTAACTTCAGTAGGTTGCCTCTGAAGCTTTGTGTTAGCTTCAGTCTCAGTGGTAATAGTGACTTCTTTGAAGGGCATGTTAAACAAAGCAAAGGGGGTGAGTATCAGTACTGGAGGATTAATTTGAAGTTAAAAGAGGAGAACCAAAATATCAACATTTTTCCTCCTAATGAACTAGAAAAACATCTTAGGATAGTAATTTGTCAGATCTGGCATAACAGAAGTTAAGTTTTCGGCAGAAGAAGGTATTCCTTGCTACAAACTATATAAATAACCCATGATCTGTAATATCTTTGAGCTAGTTTGTGGTTTTAGAAGAAGTAAAATCTTTCTCTTAGATACCTTTTAAAGGAGGAATATTTACCTTGCTTACAGCACCATTAGTGAATATTCTAGGCATGCTGATCTTGCTTTAACCTGCCTGGCCCAGTGCAGCCAACAGCCTTGTCACCGCACAGGACATGGAGCTGGCAGCAACCCTGTGACCTACAGCAGAAACGAGTATGATCACCTCATGTCACTTCCTGCTCTTTCTCCAGTACTGATGCATGAGGAGTTGTAAATTTAGTAAGAAGCATGGACGCTTTCAAAATATCCCAGAAGGAAATCAGTTCTGGTCCCAGACATGTGACAGATTTTTATTGTAGAAGAATTTTGTGTTACTTCCACCAGAGACCATGAGCAGAAATCACTAACTACAGCAATCATCAACTTTTAGCGTAGAATGAAGAATGAATGCATAAGAAATTAACCAGAAAACATGAAAACCAAAGCTAGCCAGTGTAAGAGGGGACCACGCTACGAAATACGCTCTCCAGAGACTTTGTCTTAAAACCTTACAAATCCATTTGCTTCCCTTGCCAAAATCTAACAGAACTCTTGCTTGTAAGCTGATTTAATAACTCCATGCTTTCAAACAGTATTCATTTTTTCCTGTGGCCTTCATAATCTTCTACAAAGCACGTGGATGCACAGCTTAGATCTCACGGAGTTGGCTTTCATGGCTTTTAGACACACAGAGCTGAAACTTAAAATATGCTACCAAACTGGAAAAAAAAATTGCTCTTCCCCTACTGCTTAACTTTTTTTTTTCAAATAAAAAGGTGGACTTCAAGCTTAACCTAACTGAAGCTCACAGTATCAGGGGGAGTAAAATATTTGAGTGACAGAAGCAGAAAAAGCCTTCTCCCCATTGTGGTATCCCTGATTTGTCTTTCATGTGATGTTGGGATACCTAAGATTCCTTTAGTCCGAGCTGTATAAATCTTTGACACCTTAGATATCTTCAGCTAAGCTGGGTAAACAGTCTAAAATAAAAGCTAGCAAGTAGGAGCAAACTTTTGCGTAACACTCATTGTGATGCTTTAAATATCGATCTGTTGGATTAATGAGGTTGCTAGATAAAAAATAATTTTCATTCCAAGCTTTTTCTCCAAGTGTAAATTCTTGTTCTCTAGTTCTGTAGAAGCTTTTTATATTTTGCTTACATTTGCATAAAACGCTTAAGGATTGCTTTAGGTTTTGAAGAGACCTAGGAAAGCTGAGTAGTAAGTATGTACAAGATACCCGTTGGGGTCAGATCAATAGTCTGTCTGTGGCAGCAGTGATGAGAGATGCTTTTTAAGGACCAAAGCACAGCTGTCTGTGGGCCAGGTCCCTTCTGTTCCTCTGCCATCCACAGCAGTGAGATCAGGAATGTTGGAAGATACATCCTTGCCTTTTCTGTTTCCTGTCTTTTTCAAGAAGTGTGGGCAACAAGTTCACAAACAATGGCTTTTCCTAAAGGTACCTGCATAGGATTCTTGACTGTGGGTCTTTTTTCCCCCTTCTCCTTCCACCTTCCCCAAGTAGGATTATAGGTAGTATTTATAACATGTAACCAAAGTGTTAGGTACTAGCAGTACCTGATGTCTCATCTGCTTTTTTTTGTGTTTTTTTAAACAGGAAGATGAACAGAACTTAACTACATTTTAGGACTTGGCTCCTGATGGGCTGGATTTTGTCTGGGCAGGAGTTTTTGAAGATTCACGCAGTGAAAGAAGAAACAGCCAATGGCTTCAGAATCCATGGTCCCAGAGCAAGCAAAACAACATCTGATAAAGGGAAAAAGGCGGCAGCAACAGCAGCAGCAGCAGCAAACTAGATCTTCCAACAGTGATGGTGAAGATGACACCTTTGTATTTGAAGCAAATGAGGCTTGGAAGGATTTTCACAGCTCTCTTCTTCACTTCTTTGAAGCTGGAGAGCTCTGCGATGTTACACTGAAGGTGATATTGTCACACATCCACTGCATTTAAAAATCTGAGTAAGCTATGAATAAGCGTGCTGGAGGTGGCTGTGAATTTGGGCAGGGGTATGGAAGCCACAGAATACCTGTTGGATCTGAGGCATCTCTAGATATGCTTGTGGGTTTTTTTTTTAGTTAGGAAATTTACAACTGAAATGTAAACACTTAAGATATTGACAGGCTGAGAGAGGAAGTACATGAGTCTGACCTCACCCAACTTGCCTTCTAAGCAAGTTCCCACAGTTGATGAGTATATTACTGTGCAATTTCAGCTCCTTTTAGCCTCTTTGTTCTCACACACTTTCATCCCCAATTTTATGTCTATTTTTGCATTCTGTGTTGCTCTGCTAGATCTTTCCTGGTAAACAGGATTTCCGGAACAAATCTAACTTCCAGCATTCTCAAAGAAAGAAAAAAAAAATACCCCAGACAATTATGTTCTACAGCTGATCAAAGAGTAAAGGAGGAGGAGGAAACCAGTTTTATGATTCTTGCATAGCATGGCTTTAATGCATTCTTTGCAACTCAGCTGTATATTACTTGTATTCTGATCACAATAAATTTTTATCTAGCATCTGTAACAGTGGTTGCCAGCACCTAAAAATATTAAGTATTGCTTAGCTAGACACCTTAGTAGTGCACGATAGTTATTTAAGAAAAAGAGATGAAGCATAGCTCCTATAACAAGAACAAATGACAGATGCTTTTAGGAGAAATTGTCTGCTACTTTTACTGTTAGATATTAACAGGGAAAATCCTTGACAGATGTGTGTCCCTGGTGCCCCCCCCCAGTGGGCATCTCATCTTTCTAAAACGCTTGGGAGACAATGGATATGTCTGAGAGGAAGAGGGTTTCTCTCCTTTCTGCCCCAGTGGACAACAGGAGTAGAATAAGCAGGAATATTTTTCTGTTCTGCTTCACAGCACATATTAAATTGCCTGTCACCAGGCACTGAGCAGGCACTACATGCAGCAGTGAATAGGTCTAGTGGCTAACAGTTGAGTTAGTGCTCACAGGACACTGAATGACAATACTGAAGCTGCTCCAGACGGCATGAGAGCCATCATCAGGTCTTTTTACATTTGTCATTTTAAAAGGCATTTTGGGGAAGAAGGTTCATGTCAGAACTCTTAACAAGCTTCCTCTTGCCTTTTCTTGACCTTATCCTCACCTTTCTTCCTTTCCACCCACCCTTGCAAGAAAGGCAGAAAGTCTTATTTTATAAACATAATTAAATGTATACTCCTGCTAGGGAAACTTGGCTTGGAAAACACGCTTTACTGTGGCTGTAGTTTAACTTTCCCTAAGTAGGCTTGTATTAATGTTCATTTCTATTATGTGTGTGGAGCTACTTTGGTAATTTAAGAATATTAGATTGCATGACTTGGTTTCCAGTCCTCAAGTAGAGAATATAATCTATGGAGGCTAGAGCAACCTATGTACATCTTACTGTAAGGCTTCCTAAATCAGTTATTTTCAAGTAACTGGTAGCTATATCTTGAACAAGAATTTTTTTTTTTTCTGTAGTGCTCAGGCATTTCTCACATTTTAAGAGTAATTAATTCTCTACTGAACTTTCTGCTTTTGTACGTGACCTCTGATAGTAAGCAATTCTGGCATTGCTGTTGTCAGACCAATTTTTGATTTAACTGCTGGCATTTAAAATATGATAGTTAATAACTGGAGGGGAACTCTGATTTTGAAATACCAAGAACTTGCTAGATACTTAAAATTAAGCAGATTTGGGTAAAATAGTGAAGCCACTTAATTCAAAAGAAAGATCTAATTAGAGCATAGGATGATGGGCAGAATAAAAATCTCTGAAGGTGAGCATGGCCTAGGAGCTTTCCCTGATATAGCAGACCAGCTGGTAGCATCTTTTTGCATCAGTACTATAATTAGTCGGAGTGCTGACACTGTAACAGTGATAAACTGTGGGAGCACACGGGGAGACTTCCTCTGCTCCAAAGAGTTAAAATTTGGAATTAACCTACTGCACTCTTACTGTCATATGAACAGTTTCCCTGTTAGAAGGCGGAGAGTGACAGATGCATACCATCTGCTTTTCTCCTCTTGGTTTGGTTTTCTGTTCATTTGGTAGGTCTATGAATTGTTCCTTCTGAAGTGATCTAATTAACTCACACTGAACCATCCATCTTTTCCTCTCTTAATCTCTGTACTCTATCATGTGTGTTTGCTTTCTGTACTCAACTTACTGCTCACCAGGCAGGTTACACTGGTGTTGATAATACGCACTTTTAAAAAGGGTAGAGCAATTGTGTATTGAATCAGAGCTAGAAAAAACTCCAAATTATGCTTTATAATTTAATGTCCTTTTTTTTTAAAAAATTGCAAGACAGCTCACTGTAACACCTTCATCTGAAAATGAACACGTAATTCGAGTCTGTCAGGGAAACTGGTTGCTTAACTCGGCCATCCCTTTATGTTACGCAGACTGCAGAATGACAAAGGCTGTAAGAAAGCACTCCTGTAACAAATAAGTAGCGGGTTGTTCATTTACCTTCAATATTTACATTCTCTTTTAATGTAATTGAATTCTAGAATTTTGTAAGTGAAAAGCTTAGTTTGCACTTCTGATCACAATTTTGAAAAATACCTTGTCTTTATGAGGAATGCTCTATCTTTTGTGGCTGAACAGCTTCTAAAAATCTTAAAGTGATTGGTAACTTTTAATAATCCCTGTAATAGCTGTTATTACTGCGGTTTTACATGAATTTGCTTCTATAAACAGCATTATAAATTCCTCAACAGTAGTAAAAGTCCAGAGGTTTAAATTAAGTAGTCTAAAAATGTTACTTTACAATGTTTTTCCCCCCACTTAAAGTTTCTGAATACACATAAAACAAACAAGTGCCTAGCAGTCTCCTCCTGTCTCCAAGATGTATCTAGAAGGTTCTTAAGAATGTTTCATTTAAAAAATAGGACACGGCTCTCAAAGAAAAGCAAGTTCAGTGCATCAGTGCTATTGTTTCCTTGTGTTACGGCCTTGCCCTACTCTGGCGGCCAAGTTACAACTCAGATCTGCTTGGGATACACTGATCTAATGTCAGAAGTACAGGGAAAATGGAGTTAATTTGTTTGAACAAAATACAGTAGCTCAATATATATCGAGTTCAGAATTCTTATTTCAGTTTAACTGTCCATCCTTTCATAGGACATCCTTTCATACTGACATTCCAGTAAAAGATTGGGGTTTTTTTTGTTCTTTTTTTTCAGGTTGGTTCAAAGCTTATCTCCTGCCACAAACTGGTGCTAGCTTGTGTTATACCTTACTTCAGGGCCATGTTTCTTTCGGAAATGGCGGAAGCCAAGCAGACATTGATCGAGATCAGGGACTTTGACGGTGATGCAATAGAAGACCTAGTGAAGTTTGTGTACTCCTCCCGGCTTACTCTGACAGTGGATAACGTCCAGCCTCTCTTGTACGCTGCTTGCATTCTTCAGGTGGAACTGGTAGCAAAGGCGTGCTGTGAATACATGAAGCTGCACTTCCATCCCTCCAACTGCCTGGCAGTCAGGGCATTTGCGGAGAGTCACAACCGCATTGATTTGATGGACATGGCTGATCAGTATGCTTGTGAACATTTTACAGAAGTGGTGGAGTGCGAAGACTTTGTGAGCGTGTCACCACAGCACCTCCATAAACTCCTGTCCTCCAGTGACCTGAATATTGAAAATGAAAAGCAAGTTTACAACGCTGCTATCAAGTGGTTGCTAGCCAATCCACAGCATCATGCTACGTGGCTGGATGAAATACTTGCACAGGTAGAGCAGACCAAGGTGCCAGGTGCCTGTCTCATCACTGATTTAGGTGTATCATCAACTGTTTGTACTTAGGTAGATCTCAAGATGAAAAATGTTCTTAGCAGCTGGTGCCTCATCTGGTATTCACAGTTGTGAGTTGACAGTGGAAGCAGGTTACATCTCTTGATTATCAGGAAGTAGTAATTTTCTCCAGTTTCTGTAGAGAGAAGAGTACTTGCTTTATGCTTATGGCTGGGGCGGGGTGGGGAGCCAACAAAAAGCCGCGTCTTTGTTAGAGCAGAAACTTCTTAGATTTACATATAGTGGAGAACATAAAGCCATCACTTCACTTGGTTTGATACTACTACAGCTTGAAACGCTCACTTCCTTTACTAGTAAGTATTTGTACTTAAGAAAGGAGAGCAAAGCTGTTGAGGAGGTTTTTTACATGGCTAGGAAAGTAAAACTGTAACAGAGATGTATCACACCAAGTTGTGCTACTTCTAGAATGTTCTGTATATTTAATTAACAAAAGACCAAGATGTGTTAGCCCTACTAGCAGGGTAGGAAACACAGGCGAGACCCTTTAATGCTCACTAGACTAGCACTGCTGGTTACCTGTAGGATCCGAAAGGAGTTTGCAGTCTAATCATCTAGACTTGATGCAAGTCCCCTGCTTCTGAAAGAAACACATACAGGTATCAAAAGGTCACTCAGCTGAACTTACTTAAACACCTATCAGACCACCTCCTGTGAAAGCATTAGGTACTTCAATTATTCAAGCTCCATTTGTGCTGTTATGGGGGTTTAAAATACAGTATTTGAGTCAGGTATGGAGAACCTGTGCTGGGGAAGAGAGGGGTACATGCCATGCGCTGCAGAATACCCTGTGTATCTTAGCAGGTAGGATCCACTGTGCTGCTTCAGTTGTCACTGAACTCCAACTTGAATATTTTGCATGTGGCAGAATTGCTAATATTGGCGTCATGTGAGTAACGAGAGGTCTACTAACATGCTGCTGTCATTGTCTTCATGCATCCTTTTTCACATTTCCTGATAAAAGATCACAACTGTTTATTAACTGTCTTCCAAAAACCTTCAGTTTCATCTAGATTAGCATGAGGGTTTTGGTACAGAAAAACTTTAGTACACTATAATTAAATTTACAGGCAATATAATTTGAGATTTAAAAAAAAAAAAAAAGATTGATTTTTATTGCCCAGTTGTGCTAGCAGATAAGAGTAACAGCTTTATTCTATTCATGGAAACCAGAGTCTAGAACAAATCAATGAAAAAGTAAACCCCTTCCTGTAAATATGGGTTATTTGCCTGAGTATGCGGAGCCATCAGTTGATTTGGACATTATTGCTAGCAGAAAACATGACTGGGCTTCTTGACAGTTCTTATCCACATCGTAATCAGCCTTATGGGTTTCGCTGTTATAATGAGGTTCTGAATTTGTCAGCCTTGAGTTCCTACCACATCTCTAACCTCATGAGTTTATTAGCAGGGCTCTGGTGGTGCTTTTAATCAGCCTGAAATAAGCTGGGCCAAAGTAAAGGAAGAAGTGGGACTGAAAGCAAGTGGGTAAGGAAGAACTGGTAGAGACACTTGCTTACTTGAAGACAGGGATGCTTGTCAGCCATATAACAGCACCATCCTGCTGCTCCGAGAAGCACCAGAGATACTGGACTTCTTCACCATTGCTGCTGAGCTAACTGGGAGGTGCTTGACAGCACTGATGCCAAACCTTAGGAAGTCAGATGGTGGTTTACTTCAGTTCCCCCCCTGCTAACACCTCTCCCACCTTTGCGCCTGATTGTACTTCATATTCCTCACTGTTTTTCTCACAAGGACAAATGAAAGGTTTGCTGAAATAAATGACTGTGGGGAGGAGGACATTTCAAGGCAGTCTTGGAGAGGCTGACCTTATTTCAGATCTTCCCTTGTCACTGGAGATTGCTCTGGGCAGTGACCACCTGTAGCCTCACCCAGAAAGAGCCTTCCATTCCTCAGCCTGGTCACCAGCTCTCTTCTGGGGAGCCACAGGAAGGATTTGGGGAAGGAAGCTATAAACTCTCAACCTGCCGCCCTGCCCCCCACCCTCCCCCATCCTGTAGTCTGTCAGGTCCACACTAGCGAAAGGTGTTACTGCACTAGCAGTACCTCCTTAGTAGGCGCTTAATTCATGCTGACAGTGTTTCCTTTTTGACTTGCTGCCCAAAGAAAATGAACCATTCTAGCAAAAGCCCTCTTACGCTGGCGTAGCAATGAGCTGAAAATTCATACCCTCAGCAGACTAACCTGACACAGGCTGTACTGTTACCTGCCTCATGCCGGGCAGGTGCAGTTGCAGCACAGGCAGCGGCAAATTCTCCTTCCTCCGCTCAGCCTGGGCCAAGGGACAGTTCTCCACTGCTGCTTAAAGGCAAATGGCTGTAGGAAATGTTTGTCACTAAAAAGAACTGTTCATACTGCTCTTATTCTGGAAAAAAATATGAAAGCCGCTCTTTTTAGTGAAGCGTGTGGGGCTGGCAGCTGGCTCAGAAGCTGCCATCTGTTATGCGTGCGTCACTGTAAATGGTGAGACTCAGTCAGTTCAGCCAGTTACTCCAACTGTGTTCATTTCTGTCAGGTACGGCTGCCTCTCTTGCCCATTTGTTTCCTTATGGGTGTTGTGGCAAAGGAAGAGATTGTCAAGCAGAATCTAAAATGTAGGGATTTGCTGGATGAAGCAAGAAACTACCACCTTCACCTGAGCAGCAGGGCAGTGCCAGACTTTGAGTACTCCATTCGCACAACACCAAGGAAGCAGACTGCTGGTAATTAAATGTGTGTCTGATTATCCAGTAGGGAGTGGTGTGGAGAAAAGGCATCTGTGCAGGGTTAGATAGCTTGATATAAATGGTTGTTAATGACTTAATGCAAAATTGGGAAAGCCATTGTTTACCTCACTGGTAATTAGGTAATGTGCTGTATTTTCCTAGCAGAACTTTTAGCAGTCATTTTCTTTTTTTAAAGCTTATTTTCTTTCTTGATTTATCCTGATTGGCTCTACCTGTATTAAAGCTAGAACTGTTCAGTATGTTATGACCAGGCAGCATGCTCAAAGCTATACCCAAAACACTGGACACATCTTTTGGCACGAGAAGGTTGAGCTAACTTTTAAACTCTTTTGGCTAACCTACACCAAAAGTGAGCGATGAGTATTAGACTGCAAATCCTAAATTTTACATTGTTATATTTAACAAACAATCTGTTTATCTCCCTAAGCAAAATCACAGAAAGCATATTTAAAATATGCATTGTTTTTGCAAGAGCACAGATAGTTAATTGCCATAGCGACATGCCAAGCAAAGGCCAAAATCCAGCATCCAATTATGCAGGACAATGACTGTGCCCCTTGAAGTGAAATACAACTTCTCCTGAACTACATAATTTTCAGTTCACTCTGCTGTACAACTTTATCCCCCATCTTCCTGCTAGTTTTCTGGAAACCTGTTTTGTCTTTTTCAGGTGTGCTGTTCTGCGTTGGTGGTAGAGGTGGCTCGGGTGACCCATTTCGCAGCATTGAATGTTACTCTATCAGTAAGAACAACTGGTTCTTCGGCCCTGAAATGAACAGCAGGAGAAGGCACGTGGGTGTAATCTCTGTGGGAGGTCAGTAAGCCTATTCAAGCAACCCTTTTCAAAATCGTTGGCACTTGTTTGCTCCTTTTGCTGGAATTGGTACTTTTACTTAATAAATCTGTCTTGCAGTGGCTTAACTGCTGTATATTCTTCAATTTAGTAAAGCTTCTTCCCCATGAAGGGGTTTTTGATTCTGAAACAATCTAAGAGCATGCTTACTGAAAAGACATTACTGCACACTGAGAGAGTTGGGATGGTTCAGCCCGGAGAAGGCTCTGGGGAGACCTTATTGCGGCCTTTCAATACTTAAAGGGGCCTTAGAAGAAAGATGGGGACAGACTTTTTAGTAGGGTCTGTTGACATGGGGTAATGGTTTTAAACTAAAAGAGGGTAGATTTAGACTGGATATAAGGAAGACATTTTTTGTAATGAAACACTGGAACAAGTTGCCCAGAGAGGTGGTAGATGCCACATCCCTGGAAACATTCAAGGTCAGGTTGGATGGGGCTCTGAGCAACCTGATCTAGTTGAAGATGTCCCTGCTCATTGCAGGGTGGGCTGGACTAGATGACCTTTAAAGATCCCTTCCAACCCAGACTATTTTGATTCTGTGAACTGTATATAGCCTCTTGCCTTAATAGGTGATTTAGGGTTTTTTTAATCCATTTATAAAGAAATGGCCTTACACAGCAGAGTCACCCAGAATTTGCTAGCACTCATACTAGCTCCCTTCATACTTAAATCCATACAGGCAAGTCACTGAGACTGTAACTCCTCCAAGAGCAGACCTACCTTTATTTTTGGGTCTCCATCTTCTGAAACTAGGTCCATGCAGTGCAGAGCAGCTTAGCACCCACAATGCAACTTCTCCTTGTACATGGTAGCCCCTGTGTTGCTGCAACAGAACAGAGATATTTTTTTTTTCCTCCATAGAAAATCTGGAGAGACTGAGAGAAATGTCCAAAACCGATCTGACCTGCAGTACTTAAGTTATGGGAAGATTTTTTGTCTGCATATCTCAAGCTTTTCTGTAAAAGTCCATGTTAGAACACATCTCTGGTTGAGTACAGCATATAAAAATATAAAGTCTGTACTTACTAAAATCCTGATATTGAAAACATTTGAAAACTTTAACCTTTATTTGAGCTTTTTGTCTCCATGTAGGCAGGGATATTACATAAATGAAAACTGAAATGTTGCTCAGGAATCTCTGTATTGTAAGATGTGTATGTGTTTCAGGTAAAGTCTACGCAGTAGGTGGACATGATGGAAATGAACACTTAGGAAGCATGGAAGTGTTTGATCCTCTCACAAACAAGTGGATGATGAAGGCATCAATGAACACGAAGAGGTACGTGTATTTAAGTCCTAGCCTGTGATATATCATTTCTTGCTGATGTTGAAAAACATCAGGTCTGTCCTGCCTTTATTTGGGTTTCCCAACTGTGCTATTTTTAGGAATTTTTTTTTCTTATTTTGGGGCTTTATGCTATCAAACACCTTTATTTACTAGCTGTAAAGCAAACACAAATCTGCATCACATACTTGCACACATCACATATTTGCACAAACACAAAGTTGTGCATAACATACTGTAAGCATTTCAGTGCAAAACCGCATAATTCCTCTCTCTAGGGAGAGGCCCTGGCTTTCTTTTGTCGCTCTATTACCCTTTTGTTTTTTGAGGGGGCTGGCTTCTGGAGCACAGAGGTCTTCTACTCCAGCTGTGCTTGCATTCCAATATCTAGGGCCTTTCTGCTATGCCCAGTAAAGAACTTGAAACTGATTAACTTGTTCTGTGGGTTTTTTGGTCTTTTCAAGAATGAGCAAGATAACTGCCAGCAGAACGTGCACAGTGAAATACTTCATGCCCAGGAAACAAATAGCTGCCTGTGTTTTTGCTGCAAAAGGCTGGAAGCACTAAAACACTGAAAGTCAGATTGAGGATTTTTCTTCCTTTTGACATTTAAGATTCTTTTAAGGAGCTCCTGGACTCACAGATCTCTATTTTTTTGTTTCTGCTGTCATTTAAATCAACCTCCTTAATTCTACATTCCATTTTGTTATTTGTTGTTTCTAAAAGCATCATGTACAAGTAGGAGCAAAATACTGAGCATGGCTGAATCCTAAAGCTATTTATAGCTGTGACCTAATCAAAGAAGACCCAGACTCCTAGAAGTGGCTTCTTTCTCTTCTTCCTCCCTCCTGCCACCACTCCAGGGCATATTCTCAGGAAATATCAGCCCTAGATTTCTGTGACATTTCTTGCTCAGTACCTTGGTAAATGAAAGGGCTGCTGTGCCTTGGCTACGCTCCACTCCTCCCATTCACGGAGGTGGTGTCAGAATACTTAGCTGAGAAAAAACTGTTACCATTGATGGTGTCTACTGAGGCAATTTAAGATAAGCCCAGGATATTGCCACAGTGTTTGTTCTGTAGAAAGATTGTGCCTCCCTTGCTCCTGCCTAGGTATCTGTGAACATGACTTCTATGTAATGAGACAAGAATCTTCTCGGTGAAATGGTAAATCACCTGTCTTGGTAGTTAAAGCAGAAACTTAATGCTTACATTCTAGACCATACTTTTCATTTTGTAGTACTGATTATACTCTCCTATTGATAGATTCAGTAGAAAAAAATCTGACAACTATTTTAGCACAGACTTGATAGAAAATAACAGAATGGAAGAAATTACAATTAAATCTTGCTAGAGTTCAGTCACCTAATATCCAGCACAGGTTTGCCTTTTAATATGTATTAAAATCACACCCCACACCCCCCCCCCCC